GTCTCTCCCGGCTGCTCTAAATGCCTTGCATATTTTCACTCATTTAATGCTCACGATGCTGGGCACTGCTATTCATGTGCCCATTGTACAGATAAGGAAACTGAGCCCAAAGAGGAGAAGCAATTTTCCCAAGGGTGTGGCCTCCACAGCGTTCCAGCTTCGCTGACGAGGTGGTGTCACTGTGTCTGGCCGGGCCCCAGCCCTTGGCAGGTCAGTGTGTGTGTTCTTTAGGGACAAAACAGTTTGTCCCAGGTCACCCAGATGACCAATGGGTCAGTCTCTGGATATTCATGAGTCCTGATCTGGCCTTGAATCTTCATGCCAGGAGCACTGAGGGTCCCACGAGGGGCTTGGCCATGAGGGGCCTAGTGGGGGTGGAGGGAGGAGAGAGGTGAGAAAAACACAGACGGTAAAGAATCTGCCCACAATGCAGGAGACCCAGGTTTGACCCCTGGGTGGGGAAGATCCCCTGGAGGAGGAAATGGCAACCCACTCCAGTATTCTTGCCTGGAGAATTTCACGGACAGAGGAGCCTGGTGGGCTACAGTCCGTGGGATCACAGTGTCGGACATGACTAAGTGACTAACACACACATGCAGCCCAACTGAATCTGCAGCCTAACCCAGAAGACAGTTAAGGCATAGGGGGTGGCATGATGAAGTGTCATTCCAAAACCTCCAAGATAGGGGTGAGGTAGGGGAAGCAGATGGAGCCAGGAGACAGGCTTTCAGGGGTCCCGTCTGCCTGGAGGGGTTCCCTGAGGAGGAGGCAAGTGAGGTGAGGCTGTGTGGGTGTTAGCTTGCGGAAAGGGAAGGACAAAGGGTTCTAGGCAGAGGTTAGAGGACCAGGTGTGCAAGCAGCCACTGGATCTAGGGTGGGTGTGCAATGACACATGCCAGGGGTGGGGTGGGACGCCTCCACAGATTCTGGGCTTCAGGGAGGTGCTAGTGCTGCTGGGGTCCCAGGGACACAGGGCAGGCAATACAAGTTGAAACTTTGGCAGGGACACATCCTGCAAAACGGATGAGCCCCCAGATTACCATGTAGGTGAGAAAAGTAAGACACAGAAGGCCATAGAATGTGTGATTCCATTTCCACGAAACGTCCAGAACAAGGAAATCCACAGAGATAAAAGAGTGGATTCGTGATTGTCAGGTCTAGAGGAGGATGGGGGTGACAGCTAATGTCTGTGCCAGTGTAGGTACCCTGAGAGGACCGTGCACCCCAGTCAGGCATGTGCCCAGCTGGGAAAGAGTGCTGGTCTGTACCCTCTGGCTCCTGGTACCCAGCCCTCAGCAAGTGGCAGCCTCGGCGAGGGGGTACCTGCAGCAGTGGCCAAGCCTTGGTGACCTGTGGCCCCTCCACCCTGAAATCTGGTGGGGGCAGGAGTGTATTGGGGTGCCACACGCCTGATCCCTGTATCCCTGGGTTTTTAAGACTCCTGGCCAAGCCCGGGCTCCTGCACGCTGGGCCTCAGGCTTCTCTTCTGGAAGATGGAACGACAGCATCGTCCTCAGTGGACAGTGGTCAAGTTTAAGGGTGTTTGCATGCAGAGAAGACTGAATCAACTGTTAACTCCTCGGAACAGCCGTTGGGTTCCGGGTTCCGTCAGGAAGACTCAATGCTTTTTTTAACGACAGCAGCAGCGATAGTAGTAATAAGAATAATGGGAGAACTAGTGTGAGAACGTAAGAGCCATGACCTTGAACGTTCCCATGTTCGCGCAGTGGCAGCCGAGTTCAAAGCCTCGGTTCGCCTCTCCTAGGAAACCACGCCCCTAATAAGTCACGCGCACGTGAAAAGTCACTCCCCCTACGAGCCTTCGGTTCTTCGCCTGCAAAGAGCCAAATATCCGAAGTTTAAATCAAACCGGGTCAGGAACACTGCCCGCGGAGAAGCAGAGGGACAAATCAGCTAATCCTTTCATGATTTACAGGTTTTGGTCCCCAGGGGATTTCCTCTCTCTCTCTCTCTCTCTCTCTCTCTCTCTCTCTCTCTCTCTTTTTTATGTTTGCATCCGAGTTAAAAATACATTGCTTGAAAATATTCTTCATCTTGTCGACTGAGTTTTTGGGCGCTTGCTGCCTTAAATTTTGCACGGAAAATGTGTGCCGGTCGCCTCACCCTAGTCTCGGCTCTGCTAATTCACAGGATGGCCATGTGAGGATTAAAGGAGACGATTCTGGAAATGCAGGGGACATAATAACAGTGCTGATAACAGCCCTCGTAGTAATAATGGGTAATCCTCTTAATACATTCTGTGTCAGGGAAGCTAATCTGAGGAATATATATTTCGTTTAACCTCAGCAATTTATCAGGCAGGCAGGTAGCATTATTATTTCCCCTTTTCAGAAAGGGAAACTTTAAAGGCACAGAGAAGTTAAGGTACCAGCTCAGGGTCACACAGCTGAGGTCCCACCCATGCCCTGTGTCTCCTTGGAGCCCAGGGGCCTGGGATCGTGCCCCAACTGCACAGGAGACGTAGGGAGGAGAGGGTCAGAGGTCATACGATCCTATGTGTGGCCAAGGTCAGGACGGCGACAGAGCGGTCCACACCCACGGGCGGAGCCAGCGGGAGCTTTCCCACAAGCTGACCCGACTGGGGGATCTCCAGCTCAGCTCTGGGACAATGACCCCCACACACACACCTTAGTCCTTCCGCATCGCGCCGCGCCCCGCGCCCCACACTGAGGCCTCGGCCTCTGCTCCCTCTCCCCTCTCTGGGCCCTATCTCAGGGATCCTTCTCCCCATCCCCCACCCCCTCACAGGCCACCTCCATCACGCCATCCGTCCCCTCACCTCCCAACTCCAGTAGGAACCCCCTCCCTTCTCCCGTCGGACTGTTGGCTCTTCCTCCACCCGCTCAAGTCTTCTCTCTCACTTCACGCGCCCACCCACTATAGGGATTCCTCGGCGCTTCTCCCCCTCCCGCTCAGGGTTCCCCCTCGCCCCACACCCCTTTCTCTTCAAACTCCCATCTCCACCCCCCAGGGCTCCGGTCTCTCCACTTATAGAACCTCCCCTCCCCCAACCCCCTACAGGGATTCTTTTCAACCCCCCTTAGACCCAATGGACCCCCTCCTCTCCCGTAGGCTACCCACCACACGCCTCTTGCTCCCCCTCCTCGCGAGCCGGGTATCTCCTCTAAGCACCTCCCCTCCCCCACCTCCTACTGGGATTCCGCCCCCTCCCCTGTGCTGGGTGAGGGTGTCCTTACTCTCTCGGGGCTGCTTCTGCGACTCCTCCACCCCCCAGATCTCCCCTCCAGGAGGGATCCCCGCCCCGCTCCCACCCACTCCCCTCCGGGACTTCCCCCTTGCTCTTTCACTCCCCCATCCTCCCCCGGCGGGGCTCCCCCCCAGCCCCGTGACTCCCCCGGGGCCGTCGGGGTTTTCCTCACGCGCCCACGTGGGGCTCCGTGGAAAGGTCGCGGCCTGGGCTGGTCCCCGGGTCGGGTCGCCCCCCCACCCCCACCTGGTTCCCAGGCCCGAGGTGCCGGGCTGAGGAGAGGGCGTGTTGCACAGGTGTCTCGAGCCCACTCCGCAGGCTCCGGGCGGACAGACTGCAGCTGGAGTTCGAGCCAGGCTGCGCTCCTAACCGCCCCCCACCCCCGCCCGCAGCAGAGGGTCACCCGCTTGAGACTTTGGAAGAACCAGGAGGTGGCCGGCCAGGCCCACAGTTTCGATTTAGAGGCAAAACGTAGCCGGGTGCCAAGCCCAGCTGGACCGGGAGCACGACTTCCTGGGGTATTTTTCTGCTTGTTGATTTTAGTTTGAGGAATGAAAAAATTTTTTTTCTTCAGTGGCGTGAAAGGTCTATCCTAGGAAGGAGCAGGCTTGAGTGGGGGGGGTGCCCTCTGGGGGATCCCCAAAGTTCTCCTTGCTAGGCCCGAGCCCAGGGGCAGCTCTGAGCTCCAAGCCCACCTCGTTGTGTGGTCACAGGTGGCCCCTTGACCTCTCTGGAGCTGGGCTGCGGTGGCAGCTGAACAGGCAGGGGCTGCAGCCAGCCCCCCAGGGGTGCGTCTTCATGTGCCCAGAACCTGGGGTTGGCTCCAACACCGCCAGTAACAGCAGCCGCATGGCGGCCAGGTTTCGTAATAAACCGGTCTTTTAATTGCTACGGGGCAGGAGGAGGGGAGAAGAAAAAAAAAGAGGCAAAGATTTGTTGGACTTGGGTGGCGCCGGCTGCAGAGAGAAGAGGCACTGTTTTTGCAAGGAGCCTGGAGCGGCTAACTCGGACTTAAGTAACACTTCCTGGTGAGCCTGCAGGAGGGGGTGCAGGGGCTCACTGCTGGAGTGCGGGGCGGGGGTGGGGGGAGCTGGTCCCTCACAGAAGCTGGACTGCAAATACACAAGAACCCAGAAGCTTTAAAAATTTATTACAAGGCCATCATAGTAGAAGTAAAAATATATGTATCTCTAAGCTTCCCCTCTGTCTTTCAGTGGTTCAAGTAACAAGTGCAAGTAACAAAATAGATTGTCAATATATTGAGTTTGCAAGCTGGGAGTTCATGGGTACAGAGCAACATGAACCCCTGCTCCCAAGTCCCAAAGTATTGTCCTGGCCGGGCTGCCGACCCTCGGCCAACCAAGGCCCGTTTTTTGCAGATGTCAGCTCGGATCTCAAGAAGGGTGGGGGCTGCAGTCAGTCCCACCCCACCCCCGAAGTGTGGAGCCCAGGCCCTCCTCAGTGGGGGCTGCAAGCAGCTCCCCGGCTCCTGCATCTGCTCTGTCACCAGGCCTGAGCTCCCGGGTCCCCTCTCCTGCTGGCCCGGGTCCTGTCTTCTCCTCACACAGTGGCCGCCGCTGGCCCCCCAGCTCCAGGCTCCCCGCCCTGGGGCGGCCGCGCACTCCCTCTCCTGTCTTCAGTCTCCAGCGATCCTGCCCCCGATGGTCTCACGGGTTGGGTTGTTGGGGGGGGTTGTTCTGGGAGGGAGGGGGGTCAAATATTTATGTGGTTTTGTTTTCGGCAGCAACAGTTTCCGATGCCCGGCGGGGTCTCAGCGCTCCTGGAGGGAAATGTAGGGGACCCACTGGTTGTTCCCTCTACTTTCTTCGCAGTAACTGGCCACCTCCACCAGGCCGTGGCTTTTCCAGGTGTCTGTGTGAGGGTTCTGTGGGAGGGCGAGAAGAGGGGGTTCAGCAGGAGCCCCCAGGAGTGGGTGGGGAGTTTCCCTCTCCCAGGGCTCCCATGGGGAAAACAGGCTGGCTCAAAATAACTCGCTGGGTGAAGAGGCCTGGAGGCCAGCGGGTTGCCCACGGGACATGCCAAGCGTGGCTGAGCGCTGAGCTGGTGCACACCGGCCAGCTCCACTTTGTTGACAAACACGGGCCCAGGTGCCGGGTGGGGGTGGGGCGGGGCGGAGGCCCAGTTTGCTCACCGTGACCAGGAGACAGTGCAGGTCCCGGGCCTCGGTGGTGCCCTGGGTCTCGGCTGGCTCGCCCAGCAGCTGTGCCAGGCGCTGCATCCCCGACACCCGCACGATGTCGATGTCGTTGTCGCAGCAGAAGGACTGAATGAGCGTGAAGTGGATCTGCAGGGCGATGTCGTCCTCCTCCTCCTCGTCGATGGCCAGGAGGCACAGGACCACGCTGTCGGGATCCCTAAGGGGACAGACGGGGATGGGTGGATCAGCTGGGGACTCGCAAGGGCCCCCCTTCCCATGCGGCGGGGAGTTTGCAAAAGCAGAGAGCAACTGCAGGTGTGCAGGGGATGGCGTCTGCAAGCAGATGGTGGGGTGGGGGAGAAGATGCTCGGTTCAAAGGCCGGGCGGGGGTGGGGGGTAGGTCAGGGACACAAACAGGCGACTGTTTGCAAGTGATGTAGCCCCAGCATACTGCAGCCTCCACGCCTCAAAAAAAAAAAAACAAGCAGAAAGGTCCCCAACGCACAATGGGCACACTTGGGGGTGTCCCAGACTCATGCAAGAGAAGGGTGCAGCAGGGAGATTGCAGAGCGGAGGGGGTCCCCACCCGCGCCCAGCCGGGAGACAGAGTCTGACTCACACATTCATCAGCTTGGCCGACTCGTACACCCCCACGGTGAGGCGGTCCTGGCGCTGCGCGGCCACCAGCAACTCCTCCACCGCGGCGCTCACCGTCTGCATCCTGGGGCCAAGGAGAGCGGAGGTCAGCACCAGGCCAGGCACGGGGCGCCCCGTCCCCTCCCGGCCCAGCCCGGCCGACCTTAGGCGGCAGGGGCGCCGCTACTTACTTCTGCGCCGCGTTGTCGCACGCCACGAGCTCTTCCAGTGTCATGTTGCAGTTATAATCCACAGTGGAAAACAGCCTCACGACAGGTTCAAGGAAGAAAATGCAATATCCAAGGCTGGAGAGCCAAAGCCTTCCCACAGAGACCAAGCGTTCGTCAAGACCTTCGGAAAGCAGCGAAACCCACCCCAAAAAAGGCGGAAAAAATTGCAAGTGTCTCAGCAAGAATAATCCAACTAGCAACAGCAAAAGATCCGAGTCCTCGGCGTCAGCGATCTGAGTTTGCGGCGACAGGCACCGTATTTTATAGACAAAGAAGTTGGGGGGGCGTGGCCCCAGTGACCCGTTTGCCCCTCTGATTGGACAAAACACAAAGGCGAGAGAAATTCGCGCTGCGGTTGGCCAGCGGCGGGGAGGGGGCGGGGCGCCGCGAGGGGGTGCCCCACGTGGGGGAGAGAGCGGGAGGAGGGCGCCGGGGGGGGTGGAGCGGGGGGGGGGGGGGGCGTAGCTTGAGTGCCAGAAAAGAAAAAAAAAAAGCAGAAGTTTTCTCCTGATTTCCCGGCAGCCGCGCCGCGTTTCGGGGCGCGCGCGGGATTTCCAGCGCGCGAGGCGGCCCAGACTTTCGGGGGGGGGCCTGGAATCCCCTCCCGGTCCCCGGAGAGTCCCCGGCCCGAGTCTTTCCAGGTTCTGCAGGAGTTTTACCCGGAGAGGGAGCCCAGTCTGCAGCCCGATCCTTTCTAGGTGGTGGTGGTGGTGGGGGTCGCCCCAGGTTGCAGGGACCCCAGCCCCTGGGTGACTTTACTTTCTGGGCGTTTCTGCCCTTATATGTCTAATGAGAATGCAAAGTTGGCCTCATTAGATTGCAGAGAGTCCTAAATAAAGTGAGGGATGCACAGTAAGCGCTTAGCACGCGGTGGTGGTCGCAGGAGGCCGCCTCTAGATCCCCAAAACTGCAGGCTGCGAAGGCGGCCTCAGAGTCCCCACCTGCCTATGACAATGCACACCGGGGCCTCACTGCGTTGCAGGAAGCATTAACTAATAAGTGGAGTACACAAGCGGCACTTGATGATAAATGTCGCCTGGTAGCCTGGGAGGTCGCCTCGACTTCCCCAGAACCAGGGGCTGCAGAGCCGGGGGCCGAGACCCGGTGCCCCCTCTCCAACCCCGCGAGTTTCAGGGTGGGGCGCGCGTGGGAGCGCAGGTGGCTCGGCCTCGCAGGCTCCACGCCCCCTGCAGGCGCCTCGCATTGCAAGGTTTGACTACCCCTCCTCACCGCGCGTCTGTAGGGGGAAATCCAAGCCCGAGAGAGGGCGAGGGGAGCCAGTTCATCTGTGCGCCACGCGCTGCCACCTTTGCGCGCTGCCACCTTGGCGCGCTTGCTGTGATGGTGGCCGCTTTTATTCCCTCCGGAGTGGCCGCTGAATGTATGGAGCGCGCACTGGGTCCCAGGCTCTCCGTATCACGGTTCATTGAATCCCCAAGAACCCGGGAAGCATGGGCTATGCTTATCTGCAGTATGCAAAAGGGTAAACTGAGGTTTGGTGAGGCCTCCACTAATCCAAGGCCCCAGTTAGTTCGTGCTGGAGTTACACGTGTGCGCCAGGCGCGGCCGCGCGCTCGGACAGCCGCCAGCCACGCCATCTCCCTGGGAAAGCAGTTCACGAGCCAGGCAGGCAGGCCCGCGTGGGACTGGCTCCCACGGTCGATCGGGGGCTCCCGTATGACTCAGCTGCACCCCCACCCCCGCCAGCCTGGGGTCTGGCCTCGGCCTCACGGCTAGATTCCCCCAGCTCCCCCGCCCGCGGTCCCGCTGACTCATCGCACCGCCTCCGCGCCGCCCACCTTGGGGGCGCGAAATGTCCCGGGCGCTGCGAGGCGCGGTGGCGCCACCTGGTGGCCACACGAGGTTCCGGAAGGGACCAACCCGCGGGGGCGGAGTGTAGAGGTGAAAAACCCGGAACGAGTGACAAATGCAATACTTTATACACACACACACACACACACATATATATGCAACATGTATTAATAACTTTATAGATTTAATTTTTTAATCAAACTACTTCCTAGGCTACTGTGGGATTTTTTTAATGGTAAAATATGCACGATATTTATCATTTCGATATTTGTAAGGATACCAGTCGGTGGCATTAAATACATGCACAATGCTGGGTAACAATCACCGTGATCTAGACCCAGATCTTTTCTAACATCCCCAGAGTAAACTCGGGAGTGGAACACGAACTACCCCATCTCCTGACACCCACCATTGACTTCTTGTCTCTTTGAATTTGATCCTTTAGGGACCTCGTATAAATCGAGTCATACTGCATTCGTCCTTTGAGTCTGGCTTACTTAACTGAACGTAATATCCTCAAGACTCATCCACAATTGTTCATTCATGTGTGTGTCACAATTGCCTTCTTTTTGAGGCTGAATAATATTAGACAGTATAGATGGACCACATTTAGTTCATGCATCTGTTGATGGGCACATGGGTTGTTTCTACCATTTGGCTATTGTGCACCCCACTTTTTGTCAACAAAGTTTTATTGGGACCAAGGGCAGGGTATAGAGTAAGGGAATCGAGGTACTCACCTCAGGCACAAATTTTAAAGGAATGCCACAAAACTCAGTCATCAATGTAATATTATAGGGACATGCCTGGCAATCCAGTGGTTAGGACTCTGTGCTTCCACTGCCTGGGAGAGGCAGGTTTGATCCCTGGTCTGGGAGCTAAGATCCTGCAAGCCACATGGTGAGGCCAAAAGAAACAAAAAGATAAACAATATCTTAATATAATATTCTTAACCAAAATCTATGCCCCCAAATCCCCATCCATGATGAGCAAAAATCAAGGTTTTAAAACAGGCATGATCTGACAGGGTGGGGGGTAGAGGGCAGGAAGGTGAGTTGTTCACTTGCAAGGTTAAATCCTGACTTTATTTCCAATTTTGATCTTTTCTTCATCATGATACTTTTTGCATTGATTCTTATTTTTTAAAATGTTACATTAAAGTATTTATCTTGGGACATCCCTGGCAGTCCAGTAGTAAAGACTCTGTTTCCAATGCAGAGGGCGTGAGTTTGATCCCTGGCCAGGGAATGAAGACCCCACATGCCATGGAGCATGGCCAAAATAGGAAAAATAAATAAATGAAATATTTATCTTGATGATTGAGCTTCGGGCACCCTCTTAAATTTTGCTCCTAAGGTAGGTGCAGCCAAGAGAATGTCCCTGTCTGCTCTAGAAGAGGTGACCTTGTTTTCCAAGAGGGAAACCCACACCCTCCTCCTGGAAAACCTGTGAGTTTGGGACTTCCCCAGTCAGGAAACCGAGCATATCCACACTCACCTTGCAAATGAGATTCCCTTGTCTCTAGAACTGATAAATGTAAGTGCTTTAAAATTTAATTTTACATTGCATTCAAGGTACACATAAGACCTGGTGGTCCAGTAGTTAGGACTCTGTGCTTCCACTGCCAGGGCATGGGTTTGATCCCTGGTCAGGGAACTAAGATACCACATGCAGTGGCCAAAGAAAACCAAAAAAACAAAAAAAAAACAAAAAACACATGGATATGCATAAGAGCAAACTTTTCTTGGGGATTTATTGCATGCTAAGCCTTTCATAAGCAGTTTCTCCTTCAGTGCCCAGGAAGCAGCCCTGTGTGGTGGGTGCACATTTGCAGGGGGTGGAATAGAGACCCAGGAAGACCGTGCTGTTTATCCAGAGGCACAGAGCTCAGAGCTGTCTGAGGTTATTCCAAGATGCTTTTGAACTGTGGTGTTGAAGAAGACTCCTGAGAGTCCCTTGGAGGCAAGGAGATCAAACCAGTCAATCCTAAAGGAAATCAACCCTGAATATTCATTGGAAGGAATGATGCTGAAGCTGAAGCTCCAATACTTCGGTCACCTGCTTTGAAGAACTGACTTGTTGGAAAAGACCCTGATGCTGGGAAAGATTGAAGACAGGAGGAGAAGGGTACAACAGAGGATGAGTTGGCTGGATGGCATCACTGACTCAACGGTCATGAGTTTGAGCAAACTCAAACTGAAGGACAGGGTGAAGCCTGGCGTGCTTCAGTCCATGGGGTCGCAGAGTCGGACGCGACTGAGCGACTGAACAGCAATTCCTAGATACTCCAGCTATTCCCAGAGGCAGAGGTTAGGACAGGATGTGTGGTCCAGAGGGAATGGGCTAGGGGGATGTGGGTAATGGAGGTCAGACTGGGACCAGACAAGCAAAGTGAGTTTTGAAGGATGAGGAGGTATTTCCTGATGGAGACTGGAAGTGGTCTGCCCAGCTGAGAATAGGGCCTGGCCCCCTGGGGAGACACTGATGAGGCTGATTCAGAAGGACTTGGCTTGCCCTGGTGGGACCAGAATGAGGAAGGAAGGAAAATTGGGAGGGGGGGTGCAAAATTTAAAGAGGCACCAAAAACTTGGTCATCAAGATAACCTCTTTTTCTCTCTCTCATTTTTTATCAAGATGGAAATCACATACCATAAAACCCGCCCATCTAGAGTGTCTAGTTCAGTGGGTTTCTGTGGAATCACAAGCTTATGCAACCATCACCATTAGGACAAACTATTTTCCCTTTTCTTGGCTGCACCACACGACTTGTGGGACCTTAGTTTCCTGACCAGTGATCTGAACCCAGGTTCCCTGCGTTGGCAAGTGGATTTTTAACCACTAGACCACCAGGGAAGCCCCCTGATCCTGTCTTGATTTACAATTTTGATAATGTAGTCAGCATGGTATGGGGTTTCTTTCTTTCTTTCTTTCTTTTTTTTTGCATTTCTTTTAATTTTTTAAAATATTAAAGGATGTTTGGAGGTGGGGCCTTTGGGGGGTAGGGTGAGATGAGGCCCCGAGGGTGGGGCCCCTGGGATTAGTGTCCTTATAAGGAGAGGAAGAGAGAGCCCAGAGCGCTCTCTGCCAGGTGGGGACACAGTGAGACCAGGAACCAGGTCCTCAGCAGGAACAGCCACACCAGACCTCCAGGACATGGAAGAGTCATGTCTGTGACTTAGGCCCCTCCAGCCCG